TTTTGACGAAAAATCACTTCCAGTGACGTCACCGGAAGTGATTTTTCGTCAAAAAAAGATGGCGGCGCCCAGCTGACGCCGGAACCGGGCCGCGGCGCCCAGCTGACGCCGGAACCGGGCCGCGGCGTCGAAAAGGTTGGGGATCCCTGATCTAGATCACATCCACTTTGCTAGAATTAATACGTGACAAAAGCCAACAGGGAAATAAATTCTGCAATAATCTGGTTACAATCTTTGCAGGGCTCTAAAGATATACCTTAACTTATACTTTATACTTTAACTTGTACCTAGAAGCTCACTAGCAGCCAATGCAACACTAGTAATAGCATTGTTATGTGAGTGTATCATGATACAGATAGTCATCAACTTACCGTTCAAAGTTATAACAGCACAGGAAAAAGACTTGACTGTTTTTCACATCTATGACTATTGCAACCGTGGTGGTCACATGATCAAAGTTCAGACACTAAGAAACTGATTCATATTTACGAGGTTGTAGTGTCCTAGGGTCATGGGATTACCTTTCGTTACCTTCTAACAAGCAAAGTCAATGGGGAAGCCAGATTCATTTAACGATGTATTACTAACTTAATAACTGCAGTTTCCACTTAATATCTGTGGCAATAAAGGTTGTAAAATAGGGCAAAATTAATTTAACAGCTACTGTATCTTGTTTAGCAACAGAAATTTTCGGTCAATTGTGGTCATAAGTTAAGGACTCCTGTACTTCCCAAATTGCATGTGCCATTCATTGCACTTTAGACCACCAGAAGCTTCTGAGCTGAGCGTTCTTCAAGCACAAGGTCACATAGAGAATGTGGCAATAATCCAATTGGGAGATGAGTAAGACATAAGTGACCATCATTGGGGTCTCCCAATCTAGGAATTCAGTTCAAACAGAAAAAAGCAATAAATGTTTATGATGCAGAAATTAATGCTTGAAAGTGCCCAGTTTTCTGAATTATATTGGAGACTAAATACAGTTCATCTGATTCAAAATTATAGGTTCCATAACGTTAGAGAAGAGAAATATTTTAGATCTCTTCACAACCAGGGAAAGAAAGAGAAGCATGTTTCATTTTCTATCTATTAAACTAAATTCTATTTTTGAGGGCAAACAGACTTTCTGGAACATTCTACTTAAAGGGTATCAGATATGAGATCCTCTGACTACAACTCCCACAATTCCTTAGCATTAATAATGCCAATTAAGGTCAAGGAAATAGAAGTCCAAAACAACTGAAGGTCAGCAGGTTGCTTACCACTGACCTTCCATATATCAAAACGTGGATCATCAAAAAGTTTTATGGATAACAGAAAGCTTGATTCTCATTAGATGGGTTTCACACCAATGCTCTCTTAAGAGTCCCTAACTTTTTCCCACACAAGAAAAGTTGAAGTTTATTTCTGTGAAGGACTGTGATATGTGCCATTGTTCATATAGTGAAATCAAAATCTGTCTTCCATTTTACTGTTGGATAATCCTAATTCAGCAAGAACTACCACCTGAAGCAGAATGCCTTACACAGCTATACTTTGGAATGGTTAGTTCACTGTCATGCTAATCGACCTTACAAAATAAAGAAATAGAGATAATCCCTGTCAAGTCATTGTGAGCTGCTTGCAGAAAGGTGGGATCAAAATGTAATTAAACCAGACAACAGCTTTAGTAGTAATTTATGTATTTACTAATTGCTTGCAAAGTTATTATTAACCCAATTAATACTCCCTAATATTTCACTGCAGTCCCACTGCTGATCAGACTCTTTGGAATACTGTATACTCCCATACCAAGATTCTTCTGGTAGCCAGTTTAGTCAGCTTCCAAAAAGCAATGGAAATATGGTTTTTCTTTGGAGATGATTATTCTGTGTTCCCTATATGACTAACAGTCAGCTACCAGTCACATTTTGTTTATGGTTTTCATTATTTTGCTGTTTTGATTTGTAAACCCATCTTGAAATGTAGCATATAAAAATACTTGAAATTAATTAATAGCCTGATCCCCTATTTTCCTTTCTATAAAACAAAATAAATAAATAAAAACCCAGCTGGGGTTAGATAGGAATTGAAAGATAAAAGATAGCAATAATGAAATAAATTCGTACTGGGGTTTGCTAACACAATATGTATATGACTGGAAACAGATAAATTCACTGGAGGAGTAGACAAATTTTGGGCACTGAGCACATTTGGCATTTTCAGAACATATGGCAGATATACTTACAAAATAGCTGCTGCAGCAAAATGCTTATTTACTAAGACCAAAACTACAATGGACATGCCTAATCAGAAAAAAAAACCAATTTGCCAGAGGATACTCTCTACTATTAAAAAAATCATTCTAGTGCCCAAGGGCACGGCTGAAAAACCTACAATGTTATAGTCTAGTGTTTTGCTCTGCAAATTTCCGGATTTGTATTTCATAAGAGACTGTTGTTGTTCAGTTGCTAAATTGTGTCCATGACCCTACAGACCACAGCATGATGCCCCCCCCCCCCCCATTCTCTACTGCCTGCCAGAGATTGGTCAAATTCATGTTCATTGCATTGATGTCACTATCTAACCATCTCATCTTCTGCTATTCCCTTCTTCTTTTGGCTTAATATAAAAAATCATAACCTTTTTTAAAAAGTCAGTTGGGTATGGAGTCAATTGAACACTAAGGAAGAATACCTGACATTATCATGTTGCCTACTCCTTAATATGACAGAAATGGGGCAAACTGGAAAATCTATAATACCATTAAGAGGCAATAATACCTGCAAAATAATACTGCTAAGCATTTTATGATGCAGAACAATTATAAAATAAATAAGATGAGGAAAATGAGAAATAAATTCACAGCTTTTATACACAGCAGTTTACATATTGCAATTAAATAAAAATGAAACAGAAAAGTCTCAAATGTTCAAATGATCAAAGGACCACATCTTTTGTGAATAAGTTACGCATAACATCATTTTTGGTAGGTTCACATCATTTTGAGCACATTTTATAGTGCTTAGTAATCAAATCCATTCGGAACTATTATAAAGTTTACCACAATTATTTTTCTCCAGGAAGGCACAAAACTGATTACTATTTCTTCAAGACATTATATAAGTCACATCTTTTGGAATTGTTAATATATTTGTGCGCGTTTTATCCAGCCTTATTTCTTACCTGATTAATTGATTTGAATGCAATAAGACAACAGGAATTCAGAAGTAATTTTTGGAATTTCATATTGCAGTTAATCTGATCCTTAGTAAACCCATTTTCTGCACAGATGGAATCTGACTCCATCTATAGAATTAGATTTCAGTTAGACTCCATCTGTGTAGAAAATGGGACATGCTGTGATAGGTGGAAAACCCACCCACCCCCCTGCCTCCCACACATACCATTTTAGAAAGGATAAATGCAATAAAAACTGCACTAAAAAAAAACTCACTCTGAAGTGTTTCCAGTTCAGCTCTTGCCAAAGCCTCTTCTTTCTCTTTTATTTTTGTTTCTTTATATTCTACGTAGAGTTGCCTGGCCTCCTTTAAGAGAAAGCAATGATATTAGCATTTCAGAGAGACCAACTCTGGAAAGCATAATATTGAAGTTTTACACTTTATTTCAAGCCTGGCAATTATTTTATTTTATTTTTTAAGATTAAAGAGTGATATTTCTTAATAACAATGCAGCATAATGAAAACAAATTCTAAAGAAGCATTTTAGCAACAAGCTACTATGGTCCTAATTATTGAAAAGGAAATGAATGAAATGGTTCAACTGCAGATTTGAAATGCAACATTGCCCACTAGTTTTTACAGTATGCAAGATGTCCTATCAATTATCACTTCAACAAATCATCCCAGCAAAGTTCCTTGCTTGGCTGGAAATTAAAAGCACAGATCAGTCAAGCCACTCACACTTGCAATTGTAAGTAAATTCAGCAAAAAACTATATATCAAACTGATCTAGCTGATGCATTTAGGATTAATATCCAACTAGAAGAAACCTTTCTATTAGAGAATGATGAAGGTTTTCATAGTGTTTGTTTTAGTGCTAACGTATCACAACAGCCCAAATGCCTCAGTCATCTAGCCACCCTAATGGCCAGTTATAGATTCCTTTACTGTCAGTAGAAAATTATATTAATGTTTCTTTAAGAGACAAAGAACAGGTAAAAAAGAAAAAAAATTGAGGAGCCAGCTTGCAGGTTCTTCACCACCCCCTATGCCCCACTCCTGCACCAATGCATATACCCAGCTTTTCGTTTCAGCTGCAGTGAAAAAGGATAGCCCAGGGCATCCGGGAGGGTAAATCCAACAGCAAATACAAGCTTATACACAAATTACAATGGCTAATACGTCCATTTAAAGTCATTAAGCAGTAAGAAAGAGGTAATTCTGTCTTTGCAGATTGAGGCTTTCCTGCAACAGGTTATAAAATGGGATTTCCTATCATGGTTACATCAGAATGTTTAACTCATATGGAGATATTTGATACAAATCATCTCTTCACAAATCACATGTTTCAAGCTAAAGAGAAACAGAACCACAGTATATACATTAAGTACAATCCAAGAAGAATAACATTGTATATTAAACATTTGAGATAACAAGTTTAATAGTTGTTTATACTTCCCAAATAAGACAAATTCAAGCTGTTTAGATGTATTAGCACTGTTATACAGCACTACTTTTCTTAATTGACCAATTTCAAACAAGAGTATTTGGACACAATATAGAGCCTTAATTCATGTTAGCAAATTACCAAAACACAATCAGAAATCAGTATCCACAATGAGGTTTAGAGAGTATATCAAAAGCACAAAACCAATAAGGCATGGATGCTTTGCCTGTGAGTTCAGGTTAGAAAGAGTTAATTGGCATTTAACTCTAACCCTTCTGACACCGAAAGCCAATATTTGATGCTAAATTCTGGAACAGAATCTATTACTGCTTATGTGACCTCTAAACATCAGACTCCAAGGGGTATCTGTCAATCTCAGTAGTGTGTCAATCATGCAGCAATTGGAAGTAAGGCTCAGATGAAAATGACAGAATAGAGGAGAAAAACAAATAAAGTTTTCAATAATCAGAATTGGTAAAAGTTATGAATTGTTTGGGATTAATTGAAATTAAAAGAAGCAGGATAGAAAAATAACACTTTTGAACTTTAATATTGGAGAAGACTCCTGTCAATACAATGAAGCCAAGAAAACAAACAAATAGTTCATTAAATAAATCAACCTACAGACACAATTAACAGGATCGTACTTTAAATACATGTGAGGACTTACTTGTCAAAAAATACATGTAATGCTGGGGAAGATGGAAGGCAAGAAAAAGTTTTCTACTTCTATATTGAGAGAACTAGTCTGGTCTAAGGGTTAAAGGCACCAGGCTGGAAACTGGGAGACTATAAGTTTTAACCTGGCTTTAGGAATGAATGTCAGCAGGATGACTTTGATATTCTCTTTAAGCTCAACCCACCATACAGAGCTGTTGTGGGAAAATAGAAAGAGGAAGGAATATTAGGTGTGCTCACCACCTTAATTTATACAAATAATAAAAGTAAGATGTAACAGGATAATCAATAATACTACAATGCTAAGAATCAACACTGATTTGGCACGTAGCCATCAAAGCAATAACCAAAAATAGAAAATTCACAAATGTTATCATTCTAAAGTATTATAACAAATAGTAAGCAAAACACTTTTGTAGGTAAAGATCCATAAAATATGGTATGTAGTTTATATTCAGACTTTTTCATTATTTTCTTCTAATTAACTGAATTTCTTAAAATATTTCATTTAATATTTTCTCACTTAAAACTATTTTTTCCATTCAAAACCTGATTTGCAAACCCAACTTTAAATGTGATTGTTACTTATTTTTTAAAATAATACCAAACAGATGCTATTCTTTTATCTTTAATTTATTATTCAGTTTTTTTATCTGAAAATTCAGATGCATCCTTGAATATATATTTTTATTTATTTTGCAAAATTAACTCTGGATAGCCATTTGTGTTATAATGAAGTCATTTCACTCCAACAGAAGTTCACTATCAACTTTTTTATATTCTTAATCTACAGGATATTTATGTTTATAAATATTCAAAAACAAAAATTCAAAATACTTTCCAGGTAACCACACCATGATTAAAGATTAATAATGCTACCAGGGATGGTTTTTTTCATAGGATGAAGCTGATCAGCCACATTCAATTATTTCTATGCTGAACTGCCAACTAATCAAATTTCAAATAACATGACTTTCCCTGGAGCATCTAATTTATAAAATCCAAGCAAGAAAGACTGACTGACTATCTATCTGACTATCTATCTGACTATCTATCTATCTATCTATCTATCTATCTATCTATCTATCTATCTATCTATCTATCTATCTATCAACAAATATATGCAGTAGTAAGTATGATGTATTATAAAACATAATCCTTCAAAATATTTCACAACTATAAACCCAAAATCTCTTTTAATTGAGCTTGATTCTTAGTGACTTAATGGACATGTCCGTATAAATTTCTTGCCTGAAGTACAGAAGCGATTTGCCACTGTCTTCTTTCCCATCTGACACATTAAAATTGCTTTATTGTCCCCACTCATATGCTAAATAGGCCTCACCGGGCTTTGCTTTTTTAGGATAGGTCAAAGTTGGCTAGGAACTGCTAGCTAACTCCTTCTCCTCTTCCTCCTTCTCATTATCACTGTTCTATATCAATTTACTGCAAAACATCTCTTCATTGAAGGTTATGGGTTATAATCTATCAGATAGGTCTGATGCAGTGTGTGTGTGTGTATATAGGTATGTGTGTATGAAAAGGAAAATGACAAATCTGGATGAAAATCTTCCATATAAACGCTGAGAATCTGTTTGCAATTTAACTGATCAAATAAAATTAAATAAAATTAAAACCACTGCTGACTGGCCACATGTATCTCCCATATTAATGAACAAGCTATAGAGTTGAACAGCATCAAAACTAATAAATCATTAAAATTATTATCACCTTAGAGTTTACTTGAATGTCAAATAAAGATGTGCTAACATGATTTTTTAATCGGTGAAAAAAAGGCTACCTTTCCTAATTATTTAATTCATACAAAACAATACAGCGAAATCTTTTCACTAGAGAAAAATGTTTAAGATAATCAAAGCACATAGATGACAGATAGGCAGACAGATATAGACAGACAGACACACAGGCATAGACAGATAGATAAAATTTAGAACAGGGTTCTCCAACCTGTGGACTGCAGTCTGCTAGTGGGCTGTGCAACCAGGCTGTAGAAATAGCTGATGTGTGCACATGCTCCATTTAAGTGGAGGCTCGTGTACTCATCACTCACAAAAATGGAGCTGCGCACACACTTGGTTCTTGGTTCACTTGGCTCACACAGAACCATCCCCTCCCCTCACCCATCCACAAAGCTGGAAATCTTGGGAAATTCTGATTTAGAACTTCTCAAGTACAAAAATATTTTGCTTTTATATGCATGTTTATTTAATATAAATACTACCAAGCAATAATCCAGAAACTGTAATGAATGAGAAGAGAGCAGCCCAATGTTCTTCTATTCATTCAGTAATGTTTGTATCAGTACCCATGGTATTATTTATATGTTTTCCAATATGTAGGTTCAACAATTTGTATTTATTTATTTTTATTTTAATTACTTATATAAAATTACTGTCCTACCTTTCTAATGTATATGCCTCAAGATTAATTGTTTCAGCTATGTAAGCTAAAATAAGAGACATAACAACGCTTTTCCAGAAATTCAAAGAAAAGTGAATGGAAGTTTATGATTTACAAATGAAAGATACAGGAAGATGTGCGAATAGTTGAAGAAAGAAAGAAACTTTCTCCCTACAAAGGAAAAATGCAGAACTACAATACAAAAAATATCCATCTTAAAAACAATGGTTCATGCAAGTAAGCCATTCTATCAACATGCATTTTATAGGGCTTCTTTTTACTCTTTAGGATAAGATAATATGATTTACTTTTAGTAGCTTTAGGTTCTTAACTTATTGTTCTTTAAACTATCTTCTTTGCTAATGGTCCCACTTCAGGATCATCAAATTCTCTCCAGGATCTATAGTTCTGTTTTTAGTAGAACCTCCGCACAAATATATATGTGCCATAGATGTTATAAAGCCTTGAAGATTTCAGAATGGTGATGAGTAATATTAATGCACAATAACATAATATAAAGGATAGCCAATTTAACTTTTTATGACATCTGATGAAATACTTCAATTTTTCATTTGAAATTTTCAGGAAGTATTAATCAATCTTATAACTCTATGTATAGTTTTCAAAATAAACTATTTTCATTGTATTATAATTGCTTCCTTCCCTAAGAAATAAAAGAAAATCAATTCTTTTTTTTTTTTACTGCAAGATTTTGGATTCTTTAAGGACAGACATATTTCATTCCACACTGGATAAGTGCTGAGCTTCCCTGACATATCTTTACACATGTCAAGAGAGTTCTCATTTACCATGGTCAAAA